ACTCTTCTGCTTGATGATAGTGAAGGCACCCCCACCTTCTGTGGGATTAGTCCTTTTAAACCTAGAGGATGGCAAAACTGACCAATCTCCTAGGTAAGCCGCAATCACCTAGTTTGCGTAGTAATTGACCTATCCCTGCAAGGGTTTTACACACTTTATTTGCATAGTAAACTGTCTAATCCCTTTGCAAGATTGTGGCATAACAAGTCATCTTGGCAAAACTACAAACCCAGGGCCAGAAGGGCCATACGTAAAGAGAAACCCATTGCCCTTCATATATGTCTCAAAGACCTCCATTAATCCATTCCAAAACTTAGGGGAACATTCTCTGTGTCAGTTACTGTATTTCTAGACTCTAGAAAAACAGAGCTGAAAAACCTCCACCCTGCCTTCAAAAAGGGCCTAGGAATTTGAAGAGAAAGACATATGAAATATTGTACAATTGAGTGAGATATGTGCTGTTACTAAGAAAGAAAGGAAGGGTTGTTGGACAGAAAAGTGCTGTTAATTGTGCCTGAGGGAGTAGAAAAGACTTCAAAAAATTTGCTGCTGTTGTTAGTTGCCATGGAGTCTGCTCCAACTCATGGCAACCTTATGAACATCCTGCGCCATCTTTATGATTGTTGGTATACTTGAGTCCATTGTAGCCGCTCTTGTATAATGCCTTCCAACCCAGGGGGCTCGTCTTCTAGTACCGTATGACACAATATTCTGTTGTGAGCCATAAGATTTTCACTGGCTAATGTTCAGGAGTAGATCATCAGGCCTTTATTCCTAGTCTGTCCTTGTCTGAAAGCTTCACTGAAACTTGTCCACCGTGGGTGATCCTGCTGGTATTTGAAATACTGGTGGCATAGCTTCCAGTATCATAGCGACATGCAAGCCTTCATGGTATGGCCAACTGACAGCTGTCATTTACTAAGAAGTTGTCATGTCCCAGACACTGTGCCACTTGCTTTACATATTTATCTCATATGCTCCTGATAGCAATTTTATTAGCAGGTATTATCAGCCCAGTTTTACAGACGAGGGAACTGAAGCTCCCTCCCTCATTCACTCATTCTTTCATTTATTTGCTCAACAAATAATTTTGGATTGTATTTATATATTAGATCCAATTTTAGGCATTCAGGATACATCAGTGCCCTCTAGAAGCTTGTATTATAGTGAAGGATATAGACTATTTGCATGGTTGTTAACCTGTGAAAAAATAAGATAGATATTTTCATGTAGTCTTATGCACTTTAAAGAAAACCAAGGTAGGGTAAGGAGATAAAGAGAATCTGAGGTGGAGGCTGGGATAGCTATTTTAGATACAATTCTCAGGGAAAACCTCTGCGAGGAGGTGCTATTTAAATGGAGACCTGAATGAAACGAGGGAGCAAGTCATGAAAAGATCTGAGGGAAACAGATTCCAGGTAGAGGAAACAGCAAGTACAAAACTCCAAGACTATCTGATCTCAAATTTCTCAACCACTAGGCTTGACTGTCAGATTTGGCTCTCGAAGGCCTGTATAAAGTGAAGAACGTGACAAGGGTATTCCAAGCAGAGAGAGAGCGAGAGGACCAAGTTTTGGAGTCTTGGAAAGTTCTGACGCTTGGCCAACAGCAGGTTACTTCCATGGAGAAAAGAGTCCTGAGCACCCAAGTGGCTTGACTTATGGTCTATTCCCAGTGTGAGTTGAGACTTGTAAAGTCAAATTGTAGCACATGCTATTTAATCTCTCTGAACCTATCTTAACTTCAGTGTTTTTATGGCATAGAATCAGAAGACATTGGTTTGCCTTCTCTCTGCTCCTCTCAAACAATAACGTACTTAGAAAAGCACGGGCCTAGAAGTCAGACAAACTTGAGCTCTACTTTCTGTTATTATACCTTAGTTAGACCAAAGGGCTGTCATGCAGATTTTCACCATTGGTACCTTCTGAGGTGGGGTTGTGAAGTGGAGTCATGGAGAGCATGGTATGAATCCTGGCTCTGCCTTTTTTTTGCTCTGAGGTCCTAGGACAGGTACTTAGTTTATCTGAACTTCAGTTTTCCCTACAACAGAGATGCTAATATGAAACCTTGTAAGGATAATGAGACAATTAAAGGAGATAATGTACTTAAAACGCTCTGGCACTGTCATCTGTGCTTAAAGGTTATATTATCAAGACTACTAATAGATGTGCATACCTTTAGCAAAACACTTGACCGCACTGAAAAACTCCTCCCACTGATAAAATGGAGACATTGGCCCTTTCCTTTGGACTAGTCTGAGGATTAAATGAGAGAATTTATTTTTGTAAGAACTTTGTAAATTGTAAAATACTGTACAAATTTGAGGGTTTCTTATGATAGTGTACATATGCATGGATTTACCAGGCGTTAGCCATCAAGACCATGTATCATCTTCCATTTCATTGGCTTGTTTTCATGCATTTATTCAGTTCACTCACTAAGGGCCTGTCCTAGGTACCGGAGATACCAAGACAACATAGACATGGTCTCTAACATCAAGAGCAATCTAGAATGTCTGAGAAGTCTAACATCACTTTCATATATGTGTCTCTTTAGCTACTCTTAGCATAAATCTAATTATCTTTTTAAAAATTGAACTCGAAATGACTTGTCAACTTCATTTTGACTCCTTGAGTTGTCCTGTACTTATAATATTCTTTTAACCAGAAAAATAACTTTTTCTATCAAGCTCAGACACTCATTTTAAAAATGTGTTAGGAGTTTAAGATTCCGTTTCAAATGCATTTATGTATTACTGTTTAATGAAAGCCACGAGACCCTAAAGGGTAGAGAAAAGACTTCTGCTTAGTTTGGCCTGTACTCACTTATTAGTGAGCTGGTAGGTGTGGCACTAATGGATGACCCATCTTCTACAGAAGACTAGTTTGTGGACCCAATGCCATTGAGGTGGAAATCCAGCCCATATGGAAGCTGCTTGTGAAACAGGTAACCATTTTCTTTTCTTTTTAAGAAAAATAATTCCTTCCCCCTGCTTTGTATTTCCTGATACTCAGGGGAATCTAAAGCAGCCCACACATACTCTGACGGGAGTTAAATCTGTGTTTCCTGCAGTGTCTGTTTGTTACTCCTCCCCTTGACTGTTGCCTCTGTTTTCCTGTCTGTTGAGATGTTTATATTTCATTTCAGTGAAGATATATTGTTTTTATTCTAGGATTTCCAACTGGCCCTTTTCAATCACCACTTGTTTTAAATTCAAATCCTCTTTAAAATCCCTTCCTGGTGGGAAGAACAGATTCCTGTTTCACCATCTCTTGTTTGTTTATTTTGTTTTCTTAAGTTTTTGGTGGTAATTTTGGTTGTGATGATAGTGGTAGGGCCATGTTATTACTTCTGTGATCTTTTTGAGGATTTTAAACTTATTGTGGTTTTTTTCATCTTGCTCTGTTAATTCTATCTTCTCGGGTGTGACTTCTCCCTTTGTTACAATGCTTCCCTTGTGTGTTAAAAGTCCCCCTCCCCCCTAAATTCACCTTAAGTAGGACTTTTCGTTTCATCCTCTTCCCTGTGTTCCTGTGCTCATTCATTCTTCCTCTTTGACGGCTCTGTATTTGCCTCCAGCTGGTCTCCATGGGGTCCCCGGTTCACATCGAGAGCCTGTATTGGATGTTTGGGCTCTTGTCGCTCTGGAATGGTCCAGTTGCATTCCCTGACCTAGCTTAGGGTTTGGTCTAGCCCCAAACTGCACCAGGAACTCAGTTCTCTTCCATTCCACCCTCTGCCAGTGAATCATTGCTTGTGAATTTTCTCAGCCTCTGCTCTGGAGCGGGACAGCCCCCCATCATTCCCACTTTGCACAGCAAGTCTGGGTTCAGTCCCCTGCCATGTACGGGACACTTTCTGTCTCTGTTCTCCATAGAATTGGACTCCTAATGTCACCTTTTAGTCCTTATTTGGAGCTCCGTAGGCTTATGTTAGTCCCTACTTAATGCTGCAGGTTTTTACTCTGCTTCTAATCCATGAAGATGATTTTTGAGTATGATAATACATTTTTAATATTAATTTTTTGTATCTACCATTGCTCTGAGTGTGGAGCAGAGAAAAGGCTGCTTTTTAAACTTCTTATTCAAGTCCATTTTTAAGTTGTGAAAGATTCTCCCAGGGGTCAATTTGGTTTATTTTGAAAGGAGTACTATATTTTCTAGCACCTATCTACTAGGCCTTTAGTAGAAAAAAAACAAATAAAACTACTTCTTCACATTTGATTTCAAAATAACCTTGACTAAGGGAACTTAATTAATTATGATGGTGTTATTTCTTCTACAAGAAGTATTTAACCAATTTTCTGCTGGGTTTATATAAACTCAAGTTGTGTTATCATCAGTGCATGATCGACAATTAGAGCATTTTATTGCACACAAACAAAAGAGCTGTAATTTGTAAGTAAAGCATGTTAAAATGGAAATAATAAGGAACATTAATGAACAAGATTTTTAATGTGCAAAATATATCCAAGAGTTTAAGAAACCTTTAAGATGTAACCTATTTAGCTTATTAAGCAGATGTCAGTTTATTTTTAGGACTAAAGTAGAACCTTCTTTAATATATTAGAGAATTCCAGAAAGCAAAGCTAAGAAAAGAGGCCTGGTAGTGCAGCAGTTAAGCGCTCAGACGCTAACCAAAAAGGAACAGCGTTGGTTTTAGCCATTATTTTATCTAATTCACAATTATAAAGGGCACTTCTGTAAGAATAGAACCCTTGCTTTGCTCAGATGGGCTCTTAAATTCATGCTAAGCGTGTATGTCATGAGACCATGCTCCAGCTCCCTCAGGTCTGCCTTCTCTGCTATAATTATTAATAATGGAGTCAGCAGCTCTCAAATGGAAAAAGTTGAGGGACTCTAAAAAGTTGAAAGTATTTGCGAGAAACCAAAAAACTCAAACGCATGGATGATCAGGTTTGGGGCTGAGGATACAGTCTGCCTACGATTTTTACTGCAGCCGTGGTTAACACATTTATTTCTCCTCAGTCTCTCTCCTTGTTCAAGAGAAGGGCCACACTGCCCTGACTGACTCACAGAGGAGCTTGCTAAGGCCTGGAACAGAAAGAATATGTTATTTTTAAATCACCTGGATGAAAGTAGAATCTTTCATTTTCATTGCACAACTTGATTAAATCGGCAGCGTGTGATTATACGCAAAAAGAAGCCTACCATTAAAGTGTTCTAAACTGTCAAAAAAAAAAAAAAAAGACTAAACCATATTTCTCCTCCATTCTGGGTAAATCACTTTAAAAAGATAAATTCTGGGAATTCTGTTATTGGTAAAATTTTTTTTTAAATTCAAAGTAAATAAAAATGATCAATTTGTAGGCGTGACTCTGAGTGTTTAAAATAAGTTTGATTCTACCATATCACATTCTGTGTGCTTGACATTGTCTCCACCCAAATTAATGGAATCCTAGGTAAATTTCTTAAATATAAGAGGTTATTGTATGTTGTAAAAAGTGAGAAACAAATACATTCTCTAAAGAAATGATGTCATCTTAACTGCTACTAAGGTCCATACGAGTAACCCACATGCTATTTTTGTACCTGCAGGTTTTAAATCCATTCTATGTGTTCCAAGCCTTTACCCTAATTTTGTGGCTGTCTCAAGGTTACCTAGAATACTCAGTGGCCATCATCATCTTGTCTGTTATCTCCATTGTCTTAAGTGTGTACGATTTGAGACAGGTAAGAGTTGAAATTACTGTTGGATTTTATTTAGCCTCTGGCTGCACAAGAAACAAAACCTACAGAATTCCCACTAAGAGCAATGATCTGCTTTGTCAAACTTAAGTCACATCAGAGCAAACAGCAAGGGCTTATTAAATGTGGACTCTCAGGAGAGGGGCTTCAGGAATACCAGGTCGATTTCAATTTCTTTTCAAACTCTGGTTATTGACTGGGGGCTTCATTGAATACTATATTTAGAAGGACTCTAAAGCTGTGTCTGAGTGTGGTGGGAAAGAATGTGATGGATTAATAATGCCAGCTAGGGGTTTAGGAGGATGCAGGGGCAGCATCCCAACCCTGTGTATTAGTCAAGACTTCTTCAGTTTGCATTAACAGAAATCCAACTAGAGCCAAGTTAAGCAACTAATATGAGAAAGTTCATGGTAGTTTTTACTTTGAGCATGGCTGGATCCAAGTTCTCAAACAAACATTAGCAATTTATCTCTTTATCTCTTAACTTTGCTTTACTGCAGTGCTACCTAAAACCTGGTCCGTTGGCCAGTACTAGTCTGAGAATTTTTTATCTGACTGCAATAAAATAAGTACTACAGAACTTAAGAGTAAGCCTTTAGAAATGTTTGTAGCAATTTGACATTGCCACAACATTCAAGTGTGTGGTAACTTTTCTAGTAATTATGGCTTAAGAAATAATCTTTATCATGCATGGTCTTCATGCTCCATATGGTGGCAAAGATGGCCACTGCAGTCTCAGGCATACATTCTCTTCAGTGTCCATGATGTCACATGACAAAGGAGATCCTCTCTTTCCCAATGTCCATATCAACATGCCCCAAAGGACCAGCTGGTTGGGCTAGCTGGAAGGTGGCAGTGCCCATGGGCTCTCTTATACCTCAGAACCACTTTGAGCTCTTTTAACTAGTCCTTTTGTTTGTGTCGTTTCATGTTTCAAAATATTTTCTCTTGTCTCTAAATGTTCTCCACTTTGCAGGCTTCAGTTTAGTTTGTGCTAGATGATCCATCCATTTTCCATGAAAACACAACATTGATTAAAACATGGTTTTAAGAGCTTTACACTTCCCTTCACTCTTCAAACCCCTCTTAGGCAATCCTGCTAATCCTAGACTCCTTTGTAATGCAAATTCTTCTCATTGGTTATAATAATTCATAGTTTGTAATTTTTCCCTTTCCTGCCATCATTGTTCATCTTATAGCAAGTTAAAATCTTTCTCTTTTATCAGTCTTATAAGAAACAACATATTCTGAAATAGAATTAGCTGAATATTAACTTAAGTCACAGCCCCTCCCAACTCCCTACTCTCTGCAGTCTCTTTCTAGAAAATATTCTGCTACTTTGCTTAAATTCATTAGACTGAATCATGAAGCAACCCCAAAAGAATGTCTCACTCTATTTGTTGTGTATTTTTGAAAACTTGGCTTGTAGAATTAGCTTTTTAGACCCTGGGAATGATGGCCCTTGTGTCAGCCTGAGACTCTACTGAATTGTTGAAACTGTCTAGTTTCAAACCTCTTCGTTCTTCTAGAGGAGGAAACTAAGATACAGGGAGGTTATTCCAGGTCATAAAATGGGTTCGTGACACAGACAGGAGTCACAGTTCCTCATAAAATGAAGTTTTACTGCATATGAAATGCTTTCTTAGCATACAGCCCTTTCCAACGTACCACCATAGCTGAGGATGAAAATGAAAACATACGTGTCAGGGAATAGGTGATTCTGGGTATCAGCATAGTAAAATCTGGGTACATACATGTCAGTAAGGCAGATACAGAAGTGTTTAATAAAAGTCTAACTGAAAGAAGTCTTTAATTCCTAATTTATTTCAGTCATTCAACTAATATTAGTTCTAGTATTGACTTTGTATATGGTTTTACCAAAACCAAAAAAACCAAACCAGTTGCTATCATGTTGATTCTGACTCATAGCAACCATGTAGGACAGAGTAGAACTGCCCTATAGGGTTTCCAAGGAGTGGCTGGTGGATTCGAACTGCCAACATTTTGGTTAGCAGCCGAGCTCTTAACCACTGCATCACCAGGGATCCTTTATATGGTTTTAGATCCTGCAAATTTTGAGTATTAAGATTTTAAAGAGAAATGAAAGAAAAACAACATGTATTTAAAAAGCTAGAAATCAGGTCCTAAAAATGAAAGGGTAGCTGAATGGATATATGCTGGGTTAGAGAATAAGGATTAGAAAGGCTTTTTGTTTGTTTGTTTGCTTGTTTGCTTTTGCTTTTTCTTTCATGAATGTCTGAGTGTGTATTTTAAAATGTTTCTTCATGAACTAATTTAAATCATAAAAATATTAATAGTGGCTAGTAAATTCCTTCCATAGTGGCAATTTCTTTCTGTCTGGTTTCCAAGTAAAGGGAAATAACTTCTCTTCTTCTTGTGAACTGTAAGCACCTATGCAAAAGCATTAAAACAGATACAAGGGAAATAAAGGATCTGACATTCTGCCCCACTACAGTAAGAAACAGATAATAGAGTCCCAAATTCTGTGTTAGTTATTTAGTGCTGCTATAACAGAAATGCTACAAGTGGATGGCTTTAACAAACAAATTTATTATCTCACAGTCTAGGAGGCTAGAAGTCTGAATTCAGGGTGCCAGCTCCAGCGGAAGACTTTCTCTGTTGGCTCTGAGGGAAGGCCCTTGTTATCAGTCTTCTCCTGGTTCTAGGAGTTTCTCAATACAGGGATCCCAGATCCAAAAGATGTGCTCCGCTCCCAGCTCTTCTTTCTTGGTGGTAGGAGGTCCCTGAGGACTAAGTTATGACATAGGGCTGGAGAGCTCATATACCTCTGAGGTAGGACAGTGAAGGTGTATTGCTGGCCTTGCCAGGTGAGGGCAAACTGCTCTTGTTCCTTTGTCATTTGATAAAGTCCCCAAATAGAAATTCTAGTTTCTGGATTTTGAGAAACCTTTGTTTTAAATAGAATATCTAATTTAATTCTTTAATTCCCATGCATGCCTTTTAATATGGCCACCATATTATGTCTCCTTGGGTGACAGTAGAGAAACTGAGAACATTAACTTTAAAATTTGAATATTTAGTATTAAATCTTTCTGCCACTTTCCAGCTATTTGTCCACAAGCAATTCATTTTTTAAAATTTTGTTTTATAATTATAAAATTAGATTAGTTAAGTTAATACAGTTAAATTAACTATATTTCAAAAATTCCAGTAAAGTAGGAAAAAAACCCTATGATTATAATATAATTAACATGACATAACATAAACACTCTTCCCCGTTATTGTCTTGTGTTCATAACATTATTATAATGTTTTCACAATATTTTGAGAGAGTGGATTTCTCATAATTTACTTAGCCATTGTCATATTTACATTGCTTCTAGGTAATCAGTTAAGCATGGTGATTAAAAGCATGCACTTTGAATCAGACATTTATTCATTCAGTAAAGATTTATTAAATGCATACTGTGTTCAAGACGCCTTGCTAGGCATTGAAAATACCTACAAGCCGCGCATCTGCTATCTGGCTTAAGTCAAGCACCAGCAAATAGAGTCCTTCTCCCTATGTGCATTGGGAAGATACCTATCACACAATCACTCAAATGTTTAATTACAAACCATGTAAGTATTCTGAGGTAAAATAGTATGAGACTTTTGATGGGGAGAGCTTATCTAATCAAAGTTTAAATTTCCTCCTTATCACTCCTTTTTGTGTTATGTGGCACTTTAATATTCAGCTTCCTCATCTGTAATATATACACTGTATATACTGAATCTATTTCCTTACCTGTTCTGTGAGGGGGGGGGGATTTGGAGAGTCCAATATTACAGCTGAAAGGATTAAATGATGCAATGAATTTGAAGTACATATATACCTGGAGCCTTGAAGGTGCAGTGGTGAAGTGCTCAGCTGCTAATTGAAAGGTCAGCGGTTCAAACCACCAGCTGCTCCATTGGAGAAAGATGTAGCAGGCTGTTTCTGTAAAGATTACAGCCTTGGAATCCCTGTAGGGAAGTTCTACTCTGTCTTATAGGGATGCTATGAATCAGAATCAACTCAATGGCAATGGATTTTTTTATATCTGGCACATAGTAAGCACTTATCAAATCTTGGTTCTAGTAATCATTGATGTTGCTATTGCTATTTTTATTATTATTTCTAGAGTGGGAAAAGTGGGTGGTGGAAAGATGGGAGGGTTCACAGATATTGAAGGGAGGATCCTTAGAACTTGAATAAGGAAATGACTTGGGAACTGCCACTGGAAGTGTTCCTAACCCCCATTGACTCACTGCATGATTCTTGGGACTGTTATCTCCTCCCTGGGTCTCAGGAGAAGGTTACAGAAAAATTAGGCTTGATTCTACACTCCATAGCTCCATGTTTCTACAAGAGAATTACCTGAAATCCTTGTTTAAAATGCGGATTCCTGAACACCTGACCTATCGAATCCCCATAAAACCAAAAACATCAAACTCATTGCCGTCAAGTAAATTCCGACTCATAGCGACAGAGTAGAACTGCCCCATAGGGTTTCCAAGAGTTGCTGGGAGATTTGAACTGCTGACCTTTTGATTAGTGGCCTAACGCTTAACCACTGCACCACTAGGGCTCCATATAGCCAGGGTAATAATAGGAATCTGCATTTTTAAGCATTTCATAACAGATGATTGTTATGCATAAACATAGGCTTAAGAGCTGTTGTTAGAGGAGAATCCACAAAAAGATAAATCTAAACGTCAAGATCCCACATA